TAATCTACAGTTCAGTGAATTTAGAAAAATTTGGATAGAATGTATACTGTAATATTTTACTTTTTGTTTATTATTTTATTCCATTCCAAACATTTCCCTTGAAATAAAAAAATAAAACTGAGGTGCATTTGGAAGATGTGTGCCAAGTATAACTCAGGTAGCTGAGTCTGCAGGACTTGCTATTCATCCTTTCAAACTTTTGCTCTCTTTCAAATGTTTTAGTCTGCAGCTACTGTACTTCCATTGATTGTAAAGGATCAGATATGGGTGACCTATTCAATCATTAAAACTCCAATACCAAAATATCAGAACAGTATGTTTAATAAGAGTGACTTATCCTGTCCTAAGTAGTGGAAATATGGCATGTCCTATGATTTTTGAGCATTGTTAGGCAGTAACAAACCAGGCCTTTCACTCAATGTGCTGTGCTATGGAAAAGATGGTTGCCATTACCTATTCCCAAAGAAGTATGAGTGTTGGCTTGTGTGCCAACAACAGCATACCTTACCACTGTGTCAATTCAGATGCTTCAAGGTTTAACAGTAGTGGTTGTCAGGAAAAAAAACCCACCAAAACGAAAAGAAATTTAGGCACCAACATGCTACTGAACAAAAGAAATAGACATCAGATTTCATGGCTTGTGAAAAGCCACCGTTATTGTACCCTTGACTAGCTACTTCACTCTGGTAGCTTCCATAAAATAGCAAGCTGTAGTAACAAGTACAAAGGCTGACCTTGTTTACTTTCTGAGATCTAAAAAACGGACTCACTAAGAAAGAATTCAGTTTCCAAATATATATGTCAACATATTTTATTATTTTGACACTGCTAGACATTCTAATATGACTGTCACAAAAAATATATACCGTGATTCCACACAGGAGAGGTTACATTAAGTCACTGGAACCAGGTGGATCTGAACCAACACAGACTGTCAATTTTGTGGTATGCCAGGCTCAGTGATCAGTGCACAAAGTTACACCATCCTCGTCAGCACCACATAGCTCCCCATCACCCTCCTTTCATACCTTGGTCCTTGGTAGCTTTGAAGATCCCCTCCAAGGTCAACCTCAAGGTCCCACTACCGGGCAGTGCAAAGCCACCTGCTGAGAAACCAGGGTTCTGCTGAGCAGCAACCCAAGCTGAAGGGGTCTCAAAAGGCCTCTGCTACGGATGTCAGGACTCGCATTTACAGTGGACTACAGACTGAGGTACTTGAGGTACACCTGATTATCAGTCACTGGATAAGTTAGTGCTTTAAAGTACTTCAGTACTTTACTGGCGGTCCGAGTCTTCTGCTGTCCCAGAGCTTCCCCCAGCTCCTCAGTGTAACTTGCACACACTGGCACACCCCTTGTTCTGCCGGCCTGTGTTTGGCACACAGCTAACAGCTGCTGACACTTCAATCTCGTGACACCAGGATGTGTGGAACTAGCAGCTTTCTTTGTACTTGGTCAACACTAACACAAATCACTAACTCCCTGCAGGTGTACCACCCATCACAAACCCTACCTTGGGTGGCATTACCAGACATACAGTAGCACTTTAGTTCGTAAAATCGTTCATATGATAAATAAAACAGATTGATCTTCATCAGTGCAAGTTTGGTTTATTCAACATTTCCAATGTTGCTGGCAATAAATCCTCCTAATAAAGGCAACACTAAGAGAATTACTAGAAATATCCAATTTTATAGAAAACTCTAGTTTGTTAACAGAATTCACTAAGTAATTTAGTTCATTGGTCTTGTGTGGGTCTGAAACTGGTTGGAAGTAACAATAATATGGCAGATTTCTATATTTTCTTTCAAAGTTTATGTACATTAAAGTTCAGTCATTTTTTCAAACCAGTGTGAGAGTTTGATTTCATATGAGATATGGTAATTGCTACTTGTTTTTTTGTTTTCACTCTTACAAGCCAGTCTCTCATAATGCATTGCCAAAATGCTTTTCTGGCATTGTTTTGAATTTTAGTTTATTTTTTTATTACATTTTAACTTTTTATCTGTTATCTGTTAGGTTCATAGTACCTAATATTATGTAATGTGTAAGCATCAGCTAATGACTTTAACCAGGAATGGTATTGTTTACATATTTAGATATGGTGCTGCATTAAGGTGAAATTTGCATATTTCAGTTCTGGAACAAATCAAAGATTATAACATGGGAAATTACCGAACTGAATTTAAATTTCACCTTACAAAGAGTTTCGAGGAACAAATTAAGCTTGTAAAACAAGCAATTATTTTTATTTCCTACAAAATACATTCCCATAATTGCTTTAACACCATAGTATATATACAATTACTTACAAAAGTGTGTAATTTAATGTGTAGTTAAAAATTATAGCCAGATCTGGAACTGTTCCATTCATATTTACAGTAGTGGTGGTATAGTTAAAAATGCAGAACATGGTACAGTAGTTCTTATTAATGCTGTTTATCCAGAGACAAATCCTTCACTAAGAAGACACCGCATGGACAAAACCACGGAGACAAGACTGGAGTATGATTAAGAAATATATTTTCTATTGAGAAAGCTTATCACAAGCTGGTCAATGGTGCAATTTACAAAAATGGGGACTCCTCATTTTTAAGATATCACCGGTTACTTCAACAGCAATAAAGAAAAGCAAACACAGGCAGTAAACATTAAACATGATTTTGAACATGGAGACTTGTGGAATATTTGCACCAGCATTTCTGTAGCATCATATGTACAGTGCAAAATACAACTTAATAACATTACAGCAGGAACATACATTTTTAAAAATATATATACTGTAGCAACACGTCCCTTTAAGAATTACAATGGGAAACACAAATAATGCAATCAAATTTGTGGTACATAATTCATTCTTTTTGTCAGTCATAATTCAGAACAGAATTAATTATAGATTAATAATGGTAGCACAGTGGTGCTTAATTTCTGAATATTAGCGCATACTTGGTACTGATTCCCATTTAATTGTGAGGCGCTCAGCTGTGACAGATCACAATGAGAAGGGCTGGATTCAAAAACCATTAGGGTGGTAATGCACCAGGCTTCCAAGAGACTACTACTACAAGAGCTAATTAATAGCTACTATCTCATTACTTAGATATATTTCACGAGGAATGACAACGCCCCAAAATCAAAGCGTGGCGAACTATTGGTAGTGAATAGTTGGCTTAACCCACTTGGCTGAGGGAAGACCTCCTGGCCATAGGACAAGGAGGCCAGTACCCCCCGCAAGGTAACCAAGGGGTCCCTGCAGAGGTGGAGTTGGGGTGGAGGTGGGATGCAAAAGTCGCACGCGAGGGTGAGGGAGGGAGAGGGAGATCGCATTTGGTATTTATAGTGTTCAGTGGAGGAAGGACGAAGGGAGTGATTGCTAATCACTGACGGCTGGGAATGATTGAGCGTGGTTGTTGTCATCCCTCCCGAACTTTAGTTAAATAAACTCCATTTCTTCAACCTGATTAATCTGATTTTTTGCTTCTTTTATTAAAGATATTGTTAAATGATATTTGCATGTACAGCGTGCTGTACACACAAGGATGATTGTGCTATACCTTTCCTAAAATTTTAACTCTTTTAATTTAGATGAAGACATCCAAAAATAACTCACAAAAATAGTTTTATTGATCTTATCATATCTTATCAAAAGATATCTCTTGATATCAACACATGTACAGTACGTGTACTGGGTATGTTTAGCCCTCAGAATTTCTTTGATCTAAGAAATAGCAAAAAAACAAACATATGACTAATGTCAGAGATAAGGCTTTGAAGACCTTAGCATGTACAATAATTCCACTCTTGTATTTATAAAGGCATTTGCATGTAGTCAATGTAAGTACAGCACTGCAGTGAATGATTTACTAGTGATGGAGTAAGTTGTGATCCTTTAAAATGTAACCATTGATGTTTATAAAAGCTTATTAAAGAATAGCTGAATTAGTGCTATAACATATAGTTAAATCATGCACAGAAGTGGATTAGGGTTTAATATTTTTTGATGCTCATTTTAGCAAATCTGAATAGATCTCTTATATTGCTGAAAAAAACAAAATATGTATATGCAGTAAACAGTTTCAAAGTGAGCAAGAAAAACGATGAGCTGTCTTAACTCACAAGTGAAGGAATCGGTTAGCAGGTCTCGAGAGCAGGTGGAATAAATCCCTGATGCAGTTTCTCAAATCTATATATAAACTATTGTGCTAGTTATATTGTTGTATAAAAATAACATAGTTTTCACAGCTGCAATTGCAATTGTTATCTTTATTGCTGGTGCACCAGCAACATGGGCCACACATTCTAGCTGAGAGAAGATGAACTCAGGAAAAGTGTAAGTGGCACAGGCAGAATGACAGAGATTCCTGCGTACAGTCAGGGAACACAGTGGTAACTGAGACATGTGGCATGAGTAAAACCCTGTCGGCCATTGAAAGCATGTACTGGCCTATTTAAAGAAAGGAATTAAATGCCAGTGTGAGTTGTTGCTTCAGGGAATTTCCACAAGACTGTATCGTTCTGTACTCCGTATGAAAAGATTATGTTTGTTTTTTTAATTGTAAATAAATACTGGGGGGATTGAAGAGCAGGTTGTGTAAATGAGTGTGAACTGAGATTTTAATCCAATTCAAAGTGCAAAGTTTGTCACTGTAGGAGTATGTTATAATTCAAGCAAACAATGTACTGTATAGTAGAGTGAAATCATCATGGCTTTCAGTTTTTGATCTCAAATGTTGAAGGGTTTCCAGTTTTTTTATTGTATTTCACAAGTATATTATATTTTGTATAGGAGAACGCTCTAATAAATATTGCACACGAAGGTACAAAAATAAGAAATGTATATAAATGGCTTTGAATGTATTCCACTCCATTAAGTATTTCTAGTTGATGACAAAGATTTGCAATTAGTTTATCTGATTATTCTTTAATTCTTCTTTAATTAAGAGGAAGGTAACTACTTCATGGATATATTAATCAGTTAAACAACTGACCTAAACCAATATCTTCACATACCCACATGTATTAGTTAAATTATTACACATCTAAAAAATAATTGAATGACTCATGATTCCTTTAGAACTACTGTATATCATGATGGAATGATTAATGGTTCCAGTTTTTTTAATGAGATGTGAATCATTCAGTCTTTTAAACAACTTGGGATGTACAAGTTGTCAGGTTTAATCATAGTAATTCGGTGAGTTAGGCATTGGAAAGCAGAATATTGTGAATATTTTATTACACTAAGGACTCTACCCTAGCTGAAAATGATATTCCATTACTAAAAGTTACATGAAGCATTCATGGATATTTCAACAAATATGTTTATTTTAAATTATTTTAAGACGTTCTACACCAAAATGAATACAGCATAGTGAAACGTGCTGACTACTTAAATTACAAAGCAGTACTCTAGAGGCGAGAATAATCAAAATTCTCCAATCAAATGAACAACCCCATCAAAGAGAACACATATTGATCTTTTTGCATAATCTAAATTTTGGAAAGATGACAGATTTTTCTCCCCAGGAAGGCTGCAAATTGCACTTTGAATATGGAGTCTTTATTAAATGTGCTCTTCCATCTCTATTTTAAAGAATTAGGCAGCTAAACATATTTAAAAAATGCCAACACATTAATCCTCCTGGCATATAAACAGGAATATAAACAGCAACAAACAAATTGTTTCAAAACATTTTTTTTTAATGAAATGTTTTCTAATATCCAAACTATATTGCGGCAAACAGTTTCAGCAACAGGATGGTGACACAGAGCAGGCTGGACACAGGAGTCTAAGTTCCAACAACACGGGGTAAAGCACTTTAGTCTACAGTGGGCATGTGAGTCAGAAGGGGAGATAGGAAGGGGAATGAGGGGGGCGCAGGACATTGTGGCAGGGCATGTGGCAAAAGAGAGAGGGAAGGTGGGCTTTCCTCCTTATATAGGGTAATGCAGGAGGAAACGGACGCAGTCATGTCAGGGGCTGAGAGAGAAATGGGACAGTGCAACAACAGGAGGGAACAGAAACACTACAACTTCCAATATCCTTCGTCCTTACATTTCTAGCCTCATTAAAAAGGAAAATTCCTTGCTCTATCGGAAGTATGCATTGCAACAGTCTTTCTTCTTTTCTGTGCTGAATCATATACAGTTTATTAATCAGTTTATCTCGGATTATGGAAATGGTCCCATATTTTATTTGCTGTGCAAATGATTTAAAGTACAGCAATCCTTCACCACAAAAAACATTGGCTAATATGTCTGTAATTATACAGTAAGTCCGTATTAGCATCAGTCTGAATTTCTTTGCTCACTATGTTAAGCATATTTTGTACCAGCCCAGTATACAGTATGTAATGTTCTCATCTTATATTGTACTCAATACCAAATACAGGCTAATAATGATTGAAGTACTTTGGTTAGATCCTAATAAATGGGAAAGAGACTAAATATGCAGAGTGTATTTGGCGTAGCTCAACTGGCTGAACTAAGCCATAAGGCTGTATTGCATAACTCCCCTGTGTACTGTGAGGATTGATCCAGGGAGTTGTTGTAGAGGTGTAGATGAGGAGGTAGAGGCACTATGGGAAGTCCCGGGTGCGAGACCAGTGGAAGAGCAGTACCTACAGTAAGCTGTCTCCTGTATTTCTATGATAACTTTGTGATAATTCCAAAAATGGGATAATTGTACTTGGAGCTTTTGATTTCACTGCCGAGTCTGGTCCAAGGTACAAAAAATAAAAAAAAATGACAGCTTTATTAGAATTCACTTCTAAGGCCATAGTAAACAGTGTTGGACAGTTGCAGTTATGTGTTAGTGGTTAGGCAATTCGTTATCCAGGCTGCACAAGAACATCCAGATGCAATCAGGCTAGAAGAGGGGTTCTTTGTGAATTTCTGGACTGCTGTGTGTTGGGAAATTTATTTAAAATGCAATCTGTCCAGACGCCAGCTAACGAGCAGGTCATTTTACAACTAGCCCGATGGACTGGTGAATATATACATTTCTAAATCTCCCAATTATTTTTAGATTTACCAATTTGCCACATAAATTATAATATAAACATGATACCACACATACAGCTTTATTCTTGGACTCACCTGTTTTTTTTTAATGTCTACATCTGTAGTAGCACAAAAAGCACTCTACTAAAGCAACTACATTTACACCGTTTTTCTCATTCTAACAATGATTTACAGATTCTTTCTGGATCTTTCATCATGATACCCACGTTCTGAAAAGAGATCAAGCGTACAGTGTTTTTACCAGACACACTGGAAAGACAACATCAACATCATTATCCACTTCAGGTGTGGAATGACCTCTTTACTGTAAACAGCAGGCAAACTCCATAACATGGTTGTGTAAGTATTTTGTTTAAACGATATTAGCATGATGAAAATAACATTTTTGAGAAGATATTATTTAAGAAAAACTCTGCAGGTATTGCACACAAAGCCAAAAACATGAACATGAAATGCTGATTTAAAGTGACATACTGTATCTTAATCTTTAATTAATAATGCTAATACCACCAATAAGGATCTCTTAGAAAAATATTTGTTTTTATTAATTTCTTCAGTAATGTAGATAATTATGTACAAATAAAGCGCACAAGCTTGATAGGAATGTACCAAAAAGACCATCCCGTATTGAAAATTGATATGAGTTAAAAAATGTTACACATCTTGCTACTATCTAAACATATAACACATAATTGTAAAAACTGCATTTACCATTTTTACGTGTCTCTGTCCTTTAACACCACTGTTCTTTCGCACATGAGTATAGCTTTTTATCATTTTCAAAATATGAACACGTGTTGGCGTAAATTGTCACCCCTTTTGCTCAATGGACTCAATGAACTACTGGACTAAAGTTATCAGACACAGGAAATGTCAAGTTACTGACGCCACCATTGTTACATGCAACCCACTTGGAAATGTAACATGGTGCTCTCCATAGCTAGTGACCTAAAATAGGAGAACATGGCTTGACCCCCTAGAAAGAGCGGAGAAGGCTTTACAGTATCACTGAATACAAAAAGTGTATTTACAATTTCTAGCTGTTTCCTGCACTTTTCTTTGTGATTGTGAACCACAATATATCCTCACTTTCATATTTCAAAATGTGATTTTTTTTTTCAAAATTTGTGCAAACCCGACTAACAATTTAGTTAAAGGCAAATTCTCTACTGCTTTAAAGTAAAACAGCAAGTGTAGATGTGCTCATTTCTGGTGTACAACTCACACAATTCTTAATTTATTAGTAATTACATTAATATTTCCAACGCATCACTATGCATCAGTCATCAAGAGTAAATATATGAAAATAATAAATACAAAAAATGACTGATTGTCATATATATATACTGTATATTCTTTTGTATATTGTAAAACATACAATACAGTATAAACAGGGTCATCATACGAATCCCAACAATTAAATTCAAAAGAAAACAAAGTACTTTTCATTTACTGCCAGGGTCTCAGTCATTCTGGCTGTGTGCTATTTTGTTTATGGTTCCTATTTGCATTTTTAATCTCCCACTGAAATGTCCAGCAGTGTTACATTTCAATTTGTCCATTATTCAGTTTTTACACACTCTCACCTGACAAAAGCTTTACATGTGCTGTTGCACAAGTAGGTACTTTTAAGAGGCTTTTAAGACCTCAACAGGTGTTGTAACAAGTGATAACAAATGGAAAAAAATCAATACTTACAAACATCATAAAAGTTGGAACAGATGAAATATGTACAAGACCCACAAACTTAAGTTAGGCACCAAGGAACGTTACCATATCATCTCAGAGATACACAGTATGATTTGTCATCTAAGGATTTTTTATGCATTTGGCTCAGAATCAATGGAGAGCATACCAGTCTGTGAACTGACACACCCTTTGGTATTTGAACAGCAACAAATCCTGATGTAGGATGATCTTCAGCCCTTGGGAGCTTGGAACTAGCAGCTTCAGAAATACCACATTTGAATATGAACTCCTTTCTTTTAAAAAAACCCAGCACTGGACTACAAACATACCCTTGAGCTCTCTCCCAGAAGGCCCTTCACTGCCAAGACAGACTGTACATTGCAACTTGGGTGTCAAGCCAGCCAGTTTAGTGTCTGACCTGGGGCTTTGGAGTCTTGTATGAGGAGGAAAGTGAACGTATCTTTTTTTATTTAACACTTGTTCTTCAGTCAGGCATACGTCTCCTGTGATTTTAATGCAACCAATTCATAGTCTTCTGAATGTTTCCCATTTAAGTGTTCGCTGTTACAGTCAGGCTGATATAGATAGACTGGGACCTCTGTGATAGATGTCGTAGTGCATGAAGTAGATCGCATAGAGCAGTGCTCTTTCCTCCGCTGGCCCCACTGAGCTTTATATTGCATCCATTGTCTCTTGAGAGCTGCCTGTACCTGAGAAGTAATATAAACAGAATTATTTAGCATACAAATACACCAAAGAGATCATTCTGTGTTTCAATCGCTGTAGTAGCAGTTGGTAGATACATCAGAGATGAACTGTGCATAAGCAATATTCTGAAGGGGAGATTTACTGGCTTGTTAACTTACTGAACAGCCAAAGTGTCATTTGAAGATTACGCAATGCTACCAGTGAGACGATTATACAAAGATGACACAATGGCTACCAGGTGTGTTGCACCAACTTGTACCTGGTTGTGTTTCACGTTTCATTAAATCAACACGGAATTACTGATGCACGGATGATTACAGCTTTGGCAGAGTTCAAAAGCATGAAATTAACAAGAGTTAAAAAAATGTCCAGCTGGTACAGAACAAACAGTTGTGTTGAAGAAACTAATGTTCTCACAAAGCCTCATTATTAAATGTCAATGCATCCTTTATCTCTCAGATACTTAATCTGTTTTGCAGACACATCCAGCTTGTTTACAGCTTTGCTTCAATGGTGATTTTAACTGACTGCTCATGCATGAGCTTCTGTATTAATTGACCTACAGTATTTTTTCCAGCACTGTGTACGGTACCTTCCTGAGTATTAAACGCAACATTTCAAAGACCTTTCAAAGTTGCTCAGTCATTGTTCTTTGGTAAGTACCCAAACCACATGCTGGATGTCTACATTGCTCATACGTGTATTGCCTTGTTCTTTTTCAAATCTTAAACGTTTCTTAAACTATTTAACCAGTACAATATGTATAGCTACTGTATAAAGAGATGGATAAAGACTTAATTATTTTAGTATTATTAGTACTGTATATAGCAGGAAAGCACATATTCATTTTAAAATAAATAACTACCCCAATACCCACAATACTACTATTACTAATAATAAGAACAGGCTCAGCCCACTTGTAACAAGTCAATCTGTGTCACTTGGCTGAATAAGATCCACTTTTGAAAAAACACTTTTAAGATGAAAAACAAAGCAGATCAATATACATGTATAAGTAAACCTACACTGTGCAAAGTAAACCCACTGCATTACATAACGATCTTTTGCTAGTATATGGAATTTGGCAGCTTATTTTATAAAGTCAGCTAGAGAATTCAATCTGTAGATTTTGAACTCCTTACCATAGCATAATAAACTGTATAATGGACCACATACAGTAGTGATTATGAGGTTTAACCAGTAAGAGGCTGTTATTTTTCTAAGCTGCGATATACAGTAGATGGATAATACAGTACAGTACATAATTGGCAGGGTGCTTGCTATTAGGGCACAGATTCTTGGTCAAATATTCACTTTGCAGCAAAACAGCTTTCCAGGCATATGTTCTTAACACTGTGGGTACTGTTTGAAGCCACACAAGAGCAGGTGTGTGGCCACATGTTATGCCACATTAAACTATCAACAGAATTCCAAGAAACAGAAGTCTCTTGGAACTTGTGGGCAACATAATTATGCCAAGACTTGCACAAAGTAATGCCCCACTCCAGAGATAATGTTCAGGAATAATGAGGAAGGTAATGCAAACTGAACATCTCTTGCTTCCCAGTTTGTGTTCAAAGACATTAATTACTCTTTTTATTAAAACAATTTTCTTGAATTAAAAATCTGGAATTGATGTAGAGTATGCACACATACACAATACAACTCTTGGTAGGAATCAGATTTTCCAGCATACATAAGTACCATACTGTGTTACTTACTGAATTTTAATATAGAGTTTATCTTCTGGAACATTGCGCATTCCAAAAACAATATCTTAGACCTTATTACATCTGGAAGTGCTACACTGTCCAGTCAAAGGTTTGCCAAAAGCCATGAAGATCTCAACAGCTATTTCACTCTCTGTAGCATGACTTCTGCATATTCATTATGGTTCAAATGAGGTCTTGTTGGGAAGCCCATACTTTTTCTTAAAGACTGCTCATGAGCCTTGCATGTCGCTTGTAAACCATTTTTCAGTTTTTGAACTTAGTGGAGATCTCAGTGTTGAAGGAAGTGTCAGATCTGTGTATGTAACAGCAGTGGCTTTGTCATCCTGAATAACAAGGAGCCCAATCCATAATAATCAATATCTGCAATAAACATCATACCATAATTTTCATATATCCTAATGCTTCTCTTCCTACCCTCCTACCCTTTGCTTCTAACGCTATTACACTCATACCTAAGACATTTACTGGCTTCAGATATTCAGCCCAAACCCCATTTGCATTAAAAGTTTATTCCATGCTGAGAAGAGAAGAAAAGAAACACAATGTTTCAGCTGTGGAGCCATGACACCTGAAGAAGACTCCACAGCCGAAACTTTGTGTTTCTTCTCTTCTCAGCATGGAATAAACCTTTACCTCCACTTTGCAGCCTACACATGCTGATGCAAGTTTACTCACAGTTAATAGTTGTTTGATTTTGAAAGCTTATCCTGTGTCCATTTTTTGTAGAACCAAAACACTTTTAATCTATTTTTCTGTAAATTAAAAATGCTGTGCATTGTTCCAGATTCGTCTCTTCTGCTTGATCTCAAACTTTTCTAATGCCACCAGCACCTCATAACCCCATTCCACACCCGAGCAAACAAGACAGCAAGCCAAAGAATGATGAATATCCCAGCCAGTTCCTTGTCGCAGAGTGAGTGGAATGGCAGGGTGTTGGAGTTATAAAAACCCTAATGGTTTAACTTACTATGACTTACCTTACCAGGCAGAGTTATCAGAGTTTAAATGAGGAGTATGCAATGAGTCTATCCGAGGCATCACGTGAGTCATGCAACCGGTGTTTGTTGGCACAAGTCACAACAATATGCAATGCTCCAGCTACGTGTTGTCAGCCACTAGTGACAATCTTCATTTCTAGACATTATTTCATCTCTCATATTTAAGGCATCTACAGAAATTCTTTTTTGACAGGAGCTACAATTTTCAATCTTATATTGTCATACACCAAAATGTACACTGGCATTCCCAAACGTAATAAGAAAAGTTACCTCTCCATTGAAAAAGCAAAATATTGTTGCCACCAGCAAACCCTGAAAAGAAAAGAAAAAACACATTTCTTCACAATTACGCAAAACTTCAGTTTGCAACATTTTCAGTATTAGAGTGGAATGCTGCAGATTTTCAAAACATTACCTGATAATGCATTAATATATGCATAATGTAATCGTATATTTCTCCAGCGAGTCTGTTTTCTGGCCTCCAGGGGAAAATCACAAACTGGATTCCCAGCAAAGGGACAAGGATCAGGGTGGCTCTCACAGCTTTCATGTACATGTTAGACTCTGCTCGATGGGTGTCTCTCAGTTTTGTGACCAGCACTCTCACAATATTGAGCAGAAAGAACAAATTAACCTGAAACATACAAATTGAGAGCTTATATCAGAATTCAAAAGTCACATACTGTACAGTATGAAAGACCTTAAACAATAACACAGTTTGCAAGTAAAGTGTAACGGTGGGACACAGTTACAGTAGGTGTTAAGGAATGTCCAGATTTGAAAGAAAAATCATCAGTCCCTACAGGTTTCCGCAGGAGGTAAAAATTAGCTCCATTTCATGAACCAAGATATTATTAAACGTTTTTTTTTAACTAAGCACTACTGTTTGGTATGTTTCCTTTAAAAAATCTAATCTTCTCAAAAGATCATGAGGTGTCTACAAACATAGGGTGTAGGAAGAAAGCTTCAACTTTAAATTTCATTTTCAGTAGAAAATGGACGTTATTTACCGGATTTACTGGTTTTCAGTAAGAAAGATTGAAATTGACTTACTAATAGTGCTGCCATAATGGGTCCATGTACAATATAGAGCAAATGGGTTTCCACACTCATCCAGCAGCTATTAAAGTAAATTATGGATTTAATGCAAATGTCAGTAATAAAATTTTACAAGGAATTTGAATTCAAATGCTCAGAAAAAAATAAAAGTACTTACATGTCATTAAAATATTTTGTTCTTGCAACAGCGTGGATTGAGGCAGGAACTATAGGGAATCCTACACAGCGTAACAACAATGCAAGGAGAAAAGACTGGTAAAAGAAACAGTCTACGGAGCAGGTAAAGTAGCATCATTAGAAACATCATTATGTTTCTAATGAGAATTACACGCAATTATTAAATCTAATACATTCACGGCAGAGAAAAATGTAAATAGCAAGGAGGGTTTAATTGATTAGAATGAAACTGGGAAATTGATTATTTTAAATGGCGTTTAACTTTAGTTCAAAATAATCCAATAAATCAAATTAAGAGAGAAAACATTAATTCTGGATTAAAACGTATAACATTGTTTAACATCTGAATGCCCATGACTGTTTATATATATATAGATATAAACAAAAGAAAATGACTTTTGGAATTATGACTATTTTTTGTTATAATTGTGGATGGAAAGAGAGAAAGCCAGGCAGGATATCATAGGAGGCAATGTGTGCCAGAATTGATTAAAGATGGGATTGGCCGACATGGACAATCATGAATAAGACAGATGCAGTACAAGGTTATCTCCCAGTCCTCAGCAATAGGAAAGATGTCATGTTTATGTCACTGATTTATCAGTCAGGCACAGTGGATCCATCCTTGAACACTGCACTAAATTGTGTACAAGAGGAAAAAATACATGGCTAACAAGCCATAAATAAGGGATTTAACTGATTATTTGAGTTACTAAATTAATCAGAATACCTCAAATATTATATGACTTGACGTCTTATACAAAACTACATAGGCAAAGATTCAGCTTTTATTCTTTTAATGTGCTTTAGTGAGGATTTTACAGGGCCTTACAAGGCTTTTACTGTAACCTGCATATTCAATATAGCATTCAGCCCTTTAATAACAATGTACCAGGATAAAAATGTATAAGGAAACATCTTCTAAACAGTGGAAGAGTCATGATAGCTAAGTGTATTTAGTTATTAGCTGATAAACAAGCCATATGTCTCCCAACTCAGAACTTGCAACATTAACTCTGTAAAAGGCACCACAAAATGCTATCCAAAACCGTTATTATGGCTGCCCTATATTTCATCCGACTCCATTCAATGTGCCAGTAACCGAAAAGATCATTTGTAAAGTAAAAGAGTTAAGAAAAGGCCTTATTACGGTCCTGTAGCCAGGATATATTAGACTTCAGAAACTAAGGCCGGGCCTAGACCAGGTTACTACTGTAAGTGGAGTTGATAGACCAGTAGGTGGCACTCCACCTTCTGATTCAGTTTGGTGGCAGGAGAATATGCTGTCGAAGGCACTGTCCTTCAGATGAGGTGTTAAACTGTGGTCCTCACTACACTGTTGATCTCACGGTACTCTTCCTAATAGTATAAATGTAACAGCAGTGTCCTGGCTAAATTAAGGAGTGCCTTAATTTAAGTGGTAAAATAATTCCTCACTGCTCTATGTATATTTAAAAATCTGTGGGATTTTTAAAAGAGTGCTACATAAATTCAATTATTATTATTATTAGCAATAATTAATAATAATACATTATTTTTGCTTCTCCATCTGAACCTTTATACTGCACAGCTCCCTTCCTCAGTGGGACTACAAAGGGATCAAATCTCAGACCCTGGAAATACGAAACCTGTATCACTGCATCTCACAGAATAGCAGTCTTATGAATCACAAGGGATTAATAGCAGTTAATTATCAATTATGTGTTGCTTTTAAAAACGGAGTGCAGATATAAATGCATTCTGAGGTCAAGTGTTTTTTTATCACACCATCATACTATTAACAGATCTGACATTCATCTATCAACAGGTCACTATAAACATCAGATGTATCTGATATAGTGGCTGATCCAAATGGGATCTGTGGGTAAAATGAAAGTATACTACTGTAAGCATTGTGCTTTCTTTATGTTTTGTTTTAAACTGTGTTTAACATTGATATGTTTTTTTGTATCCCCACAAATAACATATTTTGTGTATTTTTAAATGGAAATTTTTACTGCCAGAAATCAAACTCACCCCAGCCAAGCAGATAGTACCAGTGTAAATGCTGCTCTTCTGCAAACACTGCCACCACGATGAGGGTGTGAAGGTATATTCCTTCACACAGCATCCAGAAATAGTTACAGCCCAGCATGTACTGATGAAAATAGTTCAGAACTTTACAACCCACCTGCAACAGAGATTTGAGGTCACTGGTTACAGAAATCTGTGTTGAGAAGACAGGGAACAACCAACCCATACAGTACAGTACAGTACAGTACATTTATAAGAACATCATAAAGGATACAAATGAGAGGAGCCCATTCAGCCCATCTAGCCCATTTGGTAGTTAGTAGTTAAATGATCCACGGATCTCATCCAGCCAGGATATCAGGATTTAACAACTTTGCCTGGCCAGCTTGTTTCAGATTCCCATAAGTCAACGAAGTGCTGCCTGTTTCCAGTTTTAAAAACACATGAAACCAGGATGTTCAAACAAAAAGGTCTTTTTATAATAATCAGGTCTCTAAAAAAAGAACATATAATAACTATTATAATGATAATTATAATAATTAACACCATTTTTTTATCCAAGGATATCTCATACACAGCAACCACAAAATACTAATTAGAATATAGATGTTTTGTAGAGCAAAAATGTATAATACTTGTGATTTTTTAATGATTGGTTTGTCTCGTTTCAACATACCTGTTTTAGTTTTAATTGTCCATAAGAGCTTATGGAGTGTTTGTGTCTCTGTGTTTATAGTGAGTCTGTAGAGAACGAAAATCACTTCGATCTCTTCTATTACACATCAACTGAAAGTAAGGGGACCAACTGAATTAATCTAATTAGATGACAGAGAAGCATTAGAATGGGAGTAAAGTCACATTTGTTTAGAAGAGTCAATCAGTCAGTTGAACAGCAGGCTGTCTCCATATGAGAATCTCCTGTCTTGTATAAGAAGACGCACCCATTTGTTTATTTTTTTAAATTGCCATCTACAGATGCCTGAGAATATTACCAGAAGTAGTGTTTGGCTTCTTTTTATACAGGAGATGTTATACGAATTAAATGATTCTTTGTACTTGGAAAACTGGGACTTTGAGAGACCAAACATTGTTTAATTTGTAATAATGCTGTTTCTGATCTTGTTCTACCATTTTGCCCCTGTGCAGTCATGGTGTGTGTGTGGGGGCCAGTGGTTCCTACCCAGAACCCCTGTATCTGCTGTTTTTTTTTATTATCACTGATCTCTACATCACCAGTGCTAATTCACTTCACTAATTAGTCCGCTTGCTTGTTTAGGGTTTTGGTTTACTTGATTCTCCACTCAGTCCTTAGTTTTGAAAATATCGGAATTCCAGCATATTGTTTCCAGCAACGTCAGCAGGCAGTATCATAACAGTCTCCCTCAATTAGGGTTTTTTTCCCATCTGCTGAGATCCAATTGATTACATTTCATGCAGCTTACCCAGAAATTTATACAGAGTTGATGCCAATTATAAATCCCTTCCAAAGGCAAATGTAATAATCTAGAAATTAATTAGCTTGTGATTAAGACCTCAGTTGGAACTATCACTTCTAGTAGAGAACTGGGGTTTTCTCCCTTTTCTGCTTGCAAGCCTGGCTGTGAGGTCTTGCATAGATACATTAATAAAAAGCTTACAATTCTTTTATTGGTCCGCTCATTACTGGAATCCTCCCAGAGCTTGTCAGGATAGCATGCCAATTATTATTTAATTTGTCTCATAGTAAACAATATTCAATATGCTTTGTTTCAGTCATTTTGAAAAACATGGAAATAAATATGTTTGTGGACGCCAGAGAAATCTATTTTTATGGTGAATTTTTGGAAAGAATGCTGTGAAGGAAAATAAAGTTATAAAAAAATGCCCTGAAGCTGTTATTGGCAGTATATACTTTTATACTAAAAGCCCATTTAACAACCACATACCCAGCCAAGGCTCTCTTCCTTGAGCATATTGTACTGATAAAACAACCGTGGAGTGAACACAATATGTTACAAAACGTCCTCTGTTTTAATCTTGAGTCTGTGTCTCAGTCTAAAGGGAAAGCTCCAAAAATCCCGGAATTTAATGATATTGATAGGGTTGTTCACAGTAGGGACATCTACTATAAATTTTTAGGAAAAGCTCTTTAAATATATATAGCAGTTTCATTACATATTTGCAACATATAAAAGTAGGTATCTGCTATTTATTTAACATTACTATGTTAATTTTCTAGTGAAATCTAAAAAAATTGAACCATGCCCTAAATTATATGGTACTGTATTTTCCATTCATACATTAAAGGTAGAAAAGGCAATATTATTGTAAGGTCAAATGATGTGGAATATATAGTATTCAGATCCTTCTTATAGTTAGGAATGATTTTACAGTGTGACTGTGTTCTTTTATTGAAGTTACTATAGCTGCTGTATATTTCCTCGCCAAAAGAACATTGTGTGAACTACAACCACATGCTGCTTCGTGAGGGCGCAGTGAGATCCCTGTGGTTTTTACAGAAAAAGAGATACATGGAAAAATCATTCTGAACACGCCAGAATGGTTCCAAATACTTTAACTTGTAAAAATCAAATTTAAAGCATTTTCCAGGTGACTTGATGTAACTTCAGATTACTGTTCTAATAGCAAATGTGCCCTCTGTGCATACTGTAGCAACACTTCACACTGTTAAAATCATACAGTACAGTATAAGTCCTTACATACTGTATTAGTACAATTGTGTTGTAAAGAGATAACATACACATTATAAAGTAAACAGCTAATGCATCCCACCTACTCCCTTAAAGTAAGCTCAACTTTAAAATTCAGAAAGCCTTTTTCTCACAAGAATGAATTGGTTGAAAGGTCTTCTGACAAAAACAGTAAAAGCTGAGGGTGATGGGTATCTTCCATTCTATTTTCTGTGAATTACAGTATAACTTCTGTCTAGTGTTTGTAAACTAAGTATAAGTATAACAAATATATTAAAAAGTCATTTTCAACACATACTGTACAAAAAGAGTTATTTTAAATTATATACAGTTGTGCTGCAGTGATGTGTTATTATAGTCCCTTATTCAATGAAATGGAACTCTCCAATCCCTTCAATGCTGAATTAGCCATTCCAACACACAAATCACTGGAATTAAGGTATTTTCTGTCTTAGCACTATAACCTAAGTTACATAATATAACTATAACTATAATCCCGATAAAGCATCCCTTCAGATCAAAATCTAACCTCCTTCTTCAAGATCACCTGTAATCTTAAAGTATGTAAACACGTTTATACCAGCTGGTTCACAGTAAACCAGCCTAAAAAAATCTACAAACTTTCCCCATTGTATACCTGCCAAATACATTTTCTGAACATAAATCCATACAGTTCTGGAATTTACTTATTTGGTTTATTAATAGCACTCAATATATTGTTTGTCTGGAAGTCCCTGAAATTAGTTCTGGAGAACAGCATATGAAATATTGTCCAATTTAATTCGTTTTAAAAATGGGTTGTTTTATAGCTCAAACATGGCATTAAAGAAATTCCTGTAATCGGAATCTCCATTTTCATCTGATAACTTCAGACTCATTGTATATTGTTATATTATATCTAAGCAGCACAGAGAAATTACAGAATGAGGAGAAGGTACAGAGAATGTTGTATAAGAATTCATGTATTCATGTATGTTTATCAACATACTTCATCATAAAATTGAAGGGGTGTGTAACAAAGCCAAACAAATTACTAAAACACATTTAAGAATATAAAAACTGTATATTCTAAAGAATATCTGTAATGCCACACTGCCAATCTCAAAAATCGGTCTTGATAGTCTAGTCTTCTGAGACTCCTCTTCCACATCCAACAGCTGCCTGGTGTGCAGCCTGTTGCCAATATCATTTTCCAATCAAAGTAACGATCAAACACCTTGAAGCAAAAAACATAGCCTGACATGGAATGACCTGTAACATTTTTAAATAGCCAGTAACCATGAAAAATTTGAGTCTTGTGTAAACAGTAAATCTCTTTTCCCCGTGAGCGATGTGTTAAGGCATGTTAACAGCAGCGGTGATTAGTTATCTTAAGTCAGGATAATCAAGAAATGTCAAAGAAATGCATAGAAAAAGACTCAGGAGAAGTATCAGAAGTTAATTCCACAATGAAAAGTTTAGAAAAACAAATATGTTTCAGTTGTTGAGCCTTCACGAGGTGGAGGAGAGAGGAGAAAGGAGAAAGAACGAAGAGGTGTGTGTTAAGCTACGCTGGGAGCCTGACCCATGCAGCTTAGGAAGCACGGCCAGGTGGGACCAGCCAGGACAGGCAGAACATAATAGGAGAGAAAGAGGCAGGCTAGCAGCCTTCAAGAGTGCCGAGCAGACACACACAAAGATAAACGTGCAGTCACGCACAACTAGAGAACCACAGATGCTTGGATTCACTGGCCTTGAGGCACATCTCCAAGGTTCGAGCTCAACTGATCCATCATAGTCCCGAGCCACGCACACAAAGGGACAGGGAACCCGTGACAGATTGCTGACGGGAATGCAAGACAGATACCAAACTGACTAGATTCCATACCAGACAGACTGGAGCCAGAGAGCGCATGCTGAGCAGACTGGGGACTGGAGACTAGAGAGCAGACCAGGCTGACAAGAACCCATACCAGACAGATGGGGGTCTGAGAGATTAAGGGGCTCAAGGGGCTCAGCATTAAGACAGAAAGGCAGAGGTCCAAGCACAGTCAGATCCACTAATTTATTGAGCGCCACACCTGGCCACGGTGTGGCTGCAAACCGAATCCAGGTGTTCAGAAATTCCAACGTGGACCATTTCCATGGCAACCGTTGTGGAGACACCAGGAGGCAGTGATGTACAGTAACAGGTTGACGAAACCCTGCTAGCGCACCTGACGCGGAGGATGTAACATTAGAATGGAAACGACTGGTGAGAAAGAGTATGCAGATTCATCATGGAGATGAATTTCAGGAGACATTTTCTTTTAGAAACCAATTAATCTCTCGTTAAGAACCGGTGGAACTGCATTTCCTTCTGCTGCTGCCACCAGTGTCAAACATGGCCCTGGTTACTCCCTCTCAGCTCCTGCTGCTCCTGATTCCATTTCTTTGGCTGTGGGTCTATCTTCCATTTTACCTCCAGCTCAGTCTTCAGGTGTCCTACAATTTGTACCATCTGCCTTTCTTCTTGCTGTTATCCTCAGAGTCCAACATGGACATGGTTTCCTCCCTCTTGACCCCTGCTGTTTCTGTCACCTTGGGCCCACATCTGTCCAGCATCCTACTTCTGGCTCAGTCAGGTGGCATCCTACAGCTTTTAATATCTGTCTAGCGTCCTACAAATGTCTGTCTGGCGTCCTACATCTGCCTCAGTCAAGGCATCCTGCAGCTTCTAATGTATGTCTTCTCTTTTCAATATGTCTGCATTTTCACCAGCCACTATACATGGTGTCCAACACAACCCAACACCGGTGGTACCTTCAGTACCGGGTTCCTCTCTCCTGGCCCCTGCTACTCCTAATGACATCTCCTCAGCCTCTGGTCTGTCCAGCATCCTACTTCTGACTAAGTCAGCAAGCATTCTAAAGCTTTTAATGCCTCCCCTCTCTTTTAACATAATTTTGCATCTCCGTGTTGTACCTGTACATTTTTTTCTTTGTTCTTTTCTGCATTGGTAGTCTTTGGGGTTCACTTGTTTCTTTTTTCGGGTTCCAAACCTTTGTCCTATTGCCAGGAGGCTAACCCAGAACTACGCAGGTTAAGTCAAAACATATTATACTCGAATACTCAACAGACATTCATAAAGCATCTGATTATTGGATGACGTTATTCATCACGAAATGGAAGTTCTTAATGAGTGATAATGACATGTATAACTAATTATTATGGAGTTTCACTATATATACTATACAGTATATACAGTAAGTCTCTTGCAAACACCTCACATTTTGTTTACATTCACCTCACCTCCACCCCATCTCCAACTTTGTAGCTGCTCCTTGGTTAACTCCTAGCTCTGAATGGGGATCTAGCTTGATTGACCTATTGCCAAGAGGCTTCCTCTTAACCAGGCAGGTTAAGCCAAAACCTATTATATTTAAAAGCTCAAGAACCATTCACAAGGTATCTATTCCTTGTGAAATGAAATTAGTTTTTATTGCTCATTGAATATTTTGGGGATGATCTAATCTAAAGTGATCTGAACTGAATAATCTGAAAATCACTATTTCTGAAATATGATTTACATTTAGTTGCTAAAAAAATCCCAATGAAAGAAGAACCATATGAAGAAGAAAATATCATTTAATGAAATTAAGTTGACACAGGAAAAATGTTAGTACAATATCAAAGCTATTTTTTCTGGAATATTGCATTTTTTTAAACTGTCTGATGAATATCCAATTCAGTTTTCAGAATAAGGTTTTAAGAATTAATAGTAGTAAATTCCATGGTTGATCTTCTTTTTTATTAATCTACTCAGCACTTTACTGTGTGTCATTCCAAGTCAAATATCTTCATTTACAAGAAAACAGTGTAATTATTTATCCTGTCTTGGAAATAGTGAAATGAGCTTTTAGGAAAAATGTTTTTCGTGGATGAATCGGACACATGGAACATGAAAACGCTTTTATCATTCAAACGTTAATATTGAAATGTCATCTTTGTAGAGAGGAACTACGCTAAGCTTGCAATTTAATTTTTAACAGTTTTGGCTGAAACACTTCCTTACACTATTGACACACCTAACAAATGAAGGCATGTGAGATGGGCTTTTTAAAGGTGGATAAGCTACTTTATTATAACTTCAAATTATACTGCAGTAGATATCTTAAAACTATTTTGGTAAATAATATTTCCATATACAAGGTCTTAAAAATAAATTCATACCTCATTATTCTGTAAAAAAAGCACAAGTGGTGCTTCATTTGAGTGATTACTAGAACTCTCAAACAAATCACTTGAAAGGAACATACAGTGAAGGAGAACAAATCCAAAGAAAACAACAATGTAGTCACTGATAAAGTACTGTAACATTCACATTCCAGACAGACAGATTTACATCTGTGCTAGTAAAACCTTCAACCTATTCAAAGGATTCCAGAACTGGAGCTCAAAGAACCAGACTCAGCACCCACTGTTCAAAATTCTGCCAACGGAAAAAATAAGAATCATATTTTTCTAAGACAAAAACATTAATCAAATTTATACACATTTAAACACCACTATAAGGTATTCCATTCTGGAGATTCATTCAGTATTTGTAAGACAAATGTAAACAACAATAATAGCAATATACATAATGACATCTTCCACTAAATATATTTACTGACATTTAATATTTTGTGTCAAAGATTTATGTGAGAGAATGATATTTGCAAAAATAATTTGTTCTGATTTGTTTAGGAAAATGCAAGAAGTCTTAAAAAAGGGTGATGGATAGGAATGCTGCCAGACATTTGGCCTTCAGGGTTCAAATAATAAAATTCCAACTCATTGTCACAAGATTGCATTAGCATTGCTAATACTACAGGAAGCCTGATTGACAGCTCCTGCTTACTATAGGTCAACCGATCACAGACAGTTGAGGTTGTGGGATTGTGATAATGTGAGTGTGTGCATCTCTCATTAAACACAGATATGTGACAGTAGAGGATGTACTGTATTCATTGTAGCTCACTGATGTTTTGAACAGAGTTCACTGAGTTCTTCCAGCATGGTGACATTGTGACATCCATCCTCAAGCACCTTTTAAGAATCTGCAGTGTCAATGTCCTTTATCTTCCACGCCACCTACAGAATACCCTTGAGACAAGGGCATGCACTGCCACAGAATCTTTTACTGTTAGAAGGTCTTTCCAGAGAGAACTGGAAGAGTAAACCAACATTCATGGACTGCGTGGATGGGGGCTCTTTGTCTTATGAAGTCATTCCTTGTAAAGACAAATAATTAATAAAAGTATCTGATGTTTCATTATAATTATGAATTTCAAGTAATTACGACAACGAGTTCTACTACAGAATGGTTACAAATGAAGGATTGCAATTTGTCCCTGTGGCATATTAAATCAGGCCAACCGGACAATTAATTTCACATGACCTTTGCTCTTTCGCAAACCTGGTGCAATATACAATACAGCAGTACAGGAAATGTGTGATTAGATTCTAGATTTTAGACTGTCCTTTTTAAACTTTTGAAAGAACCTATGTTCAGCTTAGTGAAGTTCCCAGAATTTTCAAAGGTCTACCAAGCTCTATTAATATAATAAATACTTACTCATACAATATTACTTACTCCCATAATGTCCAGCAGAAATACTCCTTTCATTTCAATGTCAAAGTAATTGACTTATTATGTACTACCCTCAGCTAGCACATCTGAAAGCCATTGTACTAAGCATTCAATACAAATAGCAGCTATAGTGCATTGCCAAAAGGAAAAGTGAGTGCAAAGAGGAGACATTTTCAACTGCCATGGTGCCTTCTTAGAGCCATAATAAAGAGGACTAACAAGACAGAAATATTCATTTGTAAGCACTAAAATGAAACAAAGCAAGTTCAAGGTACAAGTATTAAACAAAAATAATCTCCTCATTACTTGACCCCTCATTTGGGTCAAGAAAAAATGCATGGCACAACACATCTTACAAGCAGATTTCAAAATCATAGTAAGACCTTTTAGATCTTGAAGGAAGAACGTAAGAGCAGTCATAAATTACAGGTAAAGAGTAATTTCTCTTCTCTAGTATAATATTTTACATAACATAAGCAATTTCAAGACAACACTTGGCCAAATAAAACAATTCAGAATATACTTACAGGATTCCTTTCCACCACCCTGGGGTTGCTTGCAACTGTAGTAAGGTTTACAATTGTAAACACCGAGTTTAAAACATAGGAACAAAACAAGTTCTTGTGGAGTGTAATCCGCTGGCAGCTCAGGCTCCTGGAAGAGAAAAATACTTTCAGCACACTTGTACTGGAGAAAAATTTATAATGTGGTTTATATACAGTACATTCTATTTGAACTATTATTTCATCTTGGTTCTGCATTGCTTTCTGTAAATTACAGAAGAATACCATTGGTTCTGTGTCAAACAGACAGCTGCAATATTTTGGTCTACTTATATTTTAAAACTTCAAGAAAAAGATCTTGATTTTTTTATGTCATGAACCGCATTGTGTGTAGTAACTGATTTTAAAGGAAGAATATACTAACTTGAATAGATTTTCAGATGTTGCATGCAGTCTTGAAAACAGTTAAAATAAATACATGTTCAGTTCTGTTTTTAAAAAATATTTTAAAATGCTATTAAATGGCTTTTAGCATCTGGACCATTCAATACAGCCTAGCTATTCCCATAAAATAAATGACAAGAATGAACTTAAAAAGACATTATGTTCAGGTTGCAAAGTGTTCACGTTTCATATTATTTTAATCAAGGAATGAAGGAAAGAAGCACATACAATTACTTTCACAGTTATTAACATATAAACATATCGTGTACCATTTTTCCTTTGACCAGTTTTGGAAAAAAAATAATATTCTCATATATTGCAGCTCTTATCTGATTCATGAAACGGTCTGTTGTATACTGTACTGCAAATAATTAGGGACAGAAATAAAGGCACCTAATGTAAAAAAAACAAAATCAAACAAACACACCAAACTCATTTTATCGCTTCACTTAATTTACATTTTCAGTGATACTGTATATTGGAATAGAACTTGCTTTGCATTTTTTAAATCCTAAAATATTATTACTTTTTTTTTTCCTGCAACAAGATTCTTTGGTCCAGATCCATTTTATTTGGCTCAGATGGGGGAGTCATGGAGTTGAGCGAGTGAGCAGAATAATGTGAAATCCCAAATGTCCACAGCTTGAAACACACATTACATTCTAAGGGAGGAGAAGTATAGTTTCATCTACTGGTGAACCTTCACTTAAAGAAGGCAACGTGTCAAACAGCAACTGTAATGAATGCTTCAGATGCAACAAGAGCAGAATCTCAAACACGCATATAAACATGCAGGATGCTGTCTTAAGGAGAAAAAACATCAGACTGCATGAAAGACTAACTTCCTTTTAAAAGGTCTCAGTACTATTAAATGTTTGGGGAACATATTGGTTTTAGGATGAATGAAAAGTAAATCACATTCCAAGCAGAAGTAAGGAGAAACCTACAATAAAAAGCATACCACTGAACCAGGCTTTTGTAAGATATTCTTGAGCAGTATGGAAAAAAAAAATATTGCAAAGTGCAAGTATTGCCAAATTAAAAATCTTAACAATACAAATAATAAAATAACATTTATTTTATATTTTTATAGTGAAACAAAGTTTTTTTTTAATTAGTCACCTAAAGTCACTAGATTCACATAAATAAGGTTCCCTGAATAAGTATTCACCCCTTTCCAGTGAGGTTCCATTTTGTTGAATTCCAAATGGTGTATACACAGTTATCAATGTGAATATTGTGACTGAGAACTGAAATGTTCAAACACCTTTAAGGGTGAAAGAAGTTATACTGTATGTCATCAAAAACTACGATAAAAAACTAAAAACTAAATACAAAATGGTACATCTTTGGAAGGGGGTTAATACTTGTGCAAGGCACTGTTGCTATTATTTGCAATACTGAAAACCAATATTAAAGATTACAGGAATAATAACACAGCTGGTATTGCCTGAATAATTAGAGTAGCTGCTATAGAAAATGGACTACAGTCCTTTGTAGTGCTGTACAACATTGGTTGATTAAAAGAAGTACAAGTCAAGTTCAGATCTATGGGCCTTTAGCTGTGTGCCTCTTTTATAAATGGAACCCACATTGAAAAATCTAAGTCTATGAACAACACTAGTCCATACAATTAAGGCACAAAGTCTTTTTTTAAATCAATCAGGAACATCAGAGTGGCTTTGACCTTTATTTACTCAGGCCCTGATACATTTGAAACAAAATTTCTCTGACTCATACTAATCATTGAAGCACCACTTCAAAAAAAGTTTCTTCAAAAAAGTAAAGTAAAACACATAGCAGATTTCTCCAGTGGAGCACAACTAATTACAAAGACATTACATTTTAAAAGAAGGAGGAAAAAATAAGAGAAACTGTTCACTAAGTGCAGTGCAACATGTGTTTGATCAAAAATGAGGTAGAAAACACTATGGCATTGAAAGGATAAGGGTCTGAGGTATTTAGATAATGTTTGAGAGCTGTCTGACACTGTTTTCATAAAACTTTCAACAGCAGCTTTTTCAAACCTACAATTTCAAACAGAGCTTCCACAAATAATGATTGACATTGAAATGAAACTGGTTTTGATAATCTGCTGTGTACTAAAGGTAAAGAGATCCATGCATTCAAGAAGTTAGAAAATATGCAAATTTGAAATTCCATTCAAATCTTATGCCAAATATTACTTTGAACCTTGCATTTTACTTCTTTTTAATGTTTTTTTTTTTACAGCGCCCCTGGAGCAGTTGGGGTTAAGGGCCTTGCTCAGGGGCCCATTCTTGTGTCTTTATTAGTAAATATGTGAGGTGATGTTTTATTAAAACGGCACTGATAGCAGTTAACAAATGCTCCACTCTCTGCTAAAGCAGGGATAATCCTTCTATCGTGCCAATTTGGCTTGAAGAGATCTGTTGACTTATTCTTTCAAAAAAACAATGGCATTTGATAAGGCACAGTACAAGACAAAGTGTCAATTACTCCCTCCTTTAACATCTTTTGCTGTTTTCTGCAATGCAATGTTGCACATAAAAAAACATTCAAAACAATATAAAATGTGATTCAGTAATTCACTAATAAACACCATCTGGAGTCAACATGTCTTAGAGGCTGTTTGGAGTAATTGCCTAGTTGAGGGAATTGCAATTGACTGTAATGATGAGACTTACTGATCCCCCCTTACTTTCACAAAATATGAGCCAGGGAGCTGCTGCAAGAGTGTAGATGGTGTGACAAGAAGGGTGTGAGAAAGGTGTGCAAAGGGAAGTTCAGGAGGTGAGATAAAACATACATAGGAGAACAGAAGTGGGCAAGATCAGGCTAAAATAGAATTAAAGTTCTGTTAACCATACCTTAATCATGTTACTGTAAACCATGCATTACTTGTCTACACTGTCTGGCCATGTGGAACAGGGTTCAGCACACTGAGCATATTATAGAAGTCACATCTCTGCCTTGAAACCGAGACAGTATTTAAGACAATATTGAGTGTGGATGAGCTGCACTCATGTTGGTGCCAAATCTCATAAGCTGTAAGACTGGGACTTTGACATTTAAAGAGATTTGACTGCAAACATCACACACTCAGTTCATAAAACTTTCTCATTTGATATGGGGCTTTTTCAATTTTCAGTTAGACTCTGTACACAAATCAGCTATATTCTTTCTCATTCCATGGACTTTATTCTAAAAGACAAAATAATAACGATAATCATCTTCATCATCTTTATTTTAATAGTGCCTTTAAAAACATTCACCTCAAAGAGGCTTACAATATATACTTGATATAACAAATGCCTGTGTTTTATAATATGTTGGAGGAATTGCTTTGGCTACAAAAGCTTAAACCAGATAAACAGTCTTCCTTAATTTAATTAATGTATCTTCTGTGTATCAAATATTTCAAGCTTAAGGAACAAAGTACAATGCTATAATAGATCTAAAACTCATTTCCAGAAGAATTTTTGACATTCCAATCAATCCTTTACCTTGCTAAATTGGTCTAATTATTTGATTTAAACTGAAATGTTTAACACTTTTATGCAAACCTGACAAAAACTCCTGCACCTAGATTAAAAAGAGCCTTACAAGATCAAAACTGAGACATTAAAATATTTTTACAAATGTCATTTTGCACTAATGTATAGTTAAAATATTTAAAGTTGATACAGTTTACACTGGAATGAACACCACTATAATGCACTAGTTCTCTAGCAATTAAATTTTACACCTCTGACCCAGTTATTCCATATTATGTATTAGTGTCTTTATTAGAAACGCACTTATTATGCATTAATATTTCTTCTTTCACAACTTGCTAATAAACCAAAGTTTGCTTTAGATTTTTGTTAAACATCAACAGTGAAAAAAATATGATTCATCATCCAGGTTCCAGAGGTTTTCCTCATGCAGACTCTGTGGTTGAATTGGCAGAATATTCTGAGCAACAGAAGTGTAACAGTTTTTGCTGACAGAAACTTCCAGTTGTATGATGGTGGTTTAAAATTCGCTGCTATGTGGATTATTAATCAATTCACTTGTGTAAGTATTTTCTCAAGTCCCAAACCAATCCAAAAATAATTAGTTAGAAAACCACACACGGAAAAGAAAAAATAACATTGTATGAATTATTTGTAGCTGTCGTAGATTATTCTGAAAAGGTACAGGTTACTAACGTATAGAAACATTTAATAAAACCAAAGACTGGCTTGGAACTAGTGGAAACAACTACTGCATATGAGATGGCAAATGAGATGCAGCATAACATCACTGCCTTCTGTGGGCTAGAGCATCTGAGATGGGGTAGGGAGAATAATGAAGTGTATTATCCACTGATGTCAAATGTCATTTTGTCCTTGAAACACACTAAAAAAGAGAGCACATGTAGGGATTTTAAGATCAGCATTATTTGGATTGCTACATTATTCAAGCTGACAAGTGAAATGGTGAAAGTATAACAATATAGGAAAGAATATCTTTTAACACAAGAATGCAGATTGAGGAAACGTTACTGCTCAGCATTATATTAACAATGTACTTGCAGTTTTTCCTATTCTTCCATCCAGAGGTTCCAATTTTCCAACACGATCACACAGTACTAGAATTACAATGGCACAGTCTTGAGAAAGCACTGATCTGGTGTTGCTGGGATCAGCTTTTACACCTGATCTGAAACCAGCAGAACATCTGTGGGACTAACTTGCCAATGTCATCAACAGGAGAAAACCACAGTCAGCCTCTGCCAGCTGACTGATGCAGTAAAGGAAAAAACCTACAGCAGTCTCTTGTGTTAATGTTCGGGGGAGGGGTCATACCTCATTCGAATCTTGTAATATTTTCATTGACAGTGTCACACTACCGTGTCAGCTTGTGTTATATAGATACAAAAAATTGGGGACCCAATGAAAACTGCTGAAACAGATCAGCACAATACTGATCAAGGGCCTTTCAGTCCCACAGTCCCAAAATTGTACTACCTGAATAGAGCTGTGGCCATTGTTGTAGAACATGAAAAACCAGCATAATCTCATTTGGATTTATTTCCTGAAGAAGAAATTGGTTATGTCTATTGAATGTAGGTTAATATTCAAGCTATGACTTTTCATTATGTTTAAATTATTTTTAAACATCTCTTTCATTTTTTAACTGCATTCTATCTATTTGCTTTAACACTTATTTTATGAAAATTATTTCCTAAACATTTCATACTAGATCAGATTTTAAAACCTTTTAAATTTACCCGATCTTTAATTTGAGTTTTTATAATCTACTTGGCTTGATATATAATGGCCAAAATATCAAGATTCAAACACACCAGTCAGTAGCACATAATCTTGTCTTAAAACTTAGACAGCTTCAAAATTGCCTTTTCCCCTTCAGCACTTCTGAAAATAAATTCAGCAACAAGACATTCTGAAGATCCGCTTGAGGTATGAATTTCCTCTCTTTTCATATTATGAATCTGAAGGAAACAAATCTAGGGTTTTGTGTTTGTTGTCAACATTATTGGATGTATCTGTGTATACTCAACTGTGTAAGCCATAGGAATTGTTCAGTTGAAAGAGCCAATTATCTTTGAGAACCATACCTTTTCAGCTTCAGTATTTACCAGATGAAAGTCAGAAACATGAACAAAATAACCTCTTCTGCTGCTTAAGAGTTCTCACTAATTGTGTACCATATATCGAGAAACATACTTCTGCAGTCAACAGCAATGATACCACCTTATACCCCGATCCTGTCAGATGTCAGAAGCTAAGCAAAACTGGGCCTAGTCAGTATTGGTATGGGAGACCTCTAAGGAGACCATCTTGCTGCTTCAGGAGGTGTTGGTGTTGGCTTACCAGTAGATGAGACTCTTCCTGCTTTCCAAACCAATTCCCTGGTGACTGCGGACATACAGTACATATGTCTGTCTACATACAGATTTTGCAGTCATGCTAAGGCTTATTCTGTGTTGTCCTGAACACAAAATGTTATATCAAGGTCTTATGTATTTGATCATTAAATATAACCATGGTAGTGAAGGCCATCTACATTATGGACTTGCTAAAGTTCCCTATTCTTCTAGAGAAACTGCTTCACATTTCTGTGCATGTCCTGCTGTGTACTGGAGGTCTATTAACTTTGCCTTTATAAATAAGAAAGTATTCTGCGGGTAATTCCTTTGGCGCCACACACAATGGAGTTTACCCTGGTTTCCATGGTGTGAAGTAAACAGAGAGCACATGACCCACTCCCCTGGGTGGGACACCAATCCATCAGAATCTCTACCTGCAGCAAACACTGGTCCCTGTTCATACTGCTGGGCAAACTGGAGCCATCAAGGCAAAGTATATCAGTCAAGGTACAACAGCAGTATCTGCAGTAAGAACTAGAACGCAGAACCCACCAGCCATGAGTCCAAATGTGCTTATTATTTTATGTTTTCAGTATATATGTTAATAAACTATATATTTTATATTGACTTCAAAAACAAATGGGGACATTTGTCTTAAAGTGTTCATCTGTCTTTATATGGTTTAATTACTTTGTCATGGCGTAATGCATCACTATGTTATTGTCTAGGTAATTTCCATGGCTCATCAGGCCAGAACTTCCTCTGGATTCTGTGGTGTTAAGTGGGCAAGAGAGCACATGGCTCCCCCTTTAATTATGATATAACATGCATGCTGATAAAATGTGTTTATTATATAATATTTTTACATTATACTATCATATGATAACTAGAGATGATAAAGATTTAAAATAAGTGTATAGTTATATTCTGCTGTTTAAATTACATGACACATTTACAATGCAGTCCATTATTAATCTCTACGTTCTGTATATACAGTAATGCAATAACAGCTAAACATATAACTTAACTTAGTGTGCTAACGTAAGCTTTTTTGTACTGTTTACTGTTAATATCAAAATTTAAAATTTGATTAATGCTTTTGCTTTATCCTTTTTGTTTTTTTACACTCGCCTCTGTGATGGTTTCCAAGCAGCTACATACCTATTGAGCCCATTTTGTGCTGGAGTGTATCCTGGTTTTGAAGAAACATTAATATCTGAACTTGCCGGAAGATTATTCGCTAGATGTCTACTGAACCCTTGCCTGTCATGCACAGAATTAACTCTGAGGAGCTTGACGTCACATACTGAACCATGTCTAACCCACGAAAAAATAAATAAAAGCATGTAATAACCATAACAAGAAGAAGTTAAAACGTGAAGTGTACATTTCAAACCAACAGCTTCTTCCTTTCCTCTTCAAGTTATGTCATGGCAATGTCTTCATTCAGATTTTGCATTCATTCTAAGGCTTATTTGGTTAACACTCCTAGAAATACGTGAATGTATTTTATGTTCAAAGACAATAAAATCACAGGTAGTAAAATAATGAGTACTTCCTTCCTGAGAGAGGAAATGAAACATTTAACCTTTCTCACTTAAACAATAACATTTTTCCTGGAAAAAGTGCAGCTGACAGCTTTATGACATTTTACACACACGTAGAATGCTTGACAGTGCTCTTTCATGTAACATTTGGGTGCCATTTCAAACATGATGACATGGAATGAAAGATACTTACTTGAAATAAAAGAATATTGCCAGAGAGATCAAAAGTGATGCTATTGATAAAGCGTGGCCAACTATGGCCATGTAGTACAGAATATAAGCCATCTGTGAAAATAAAGACATTTTAGTTTTTGTTATGTACAATTTCTAATGTAAACTGATTCTTAGCATAGAGGCTGAAAGACAGAACCACAGTACACTTCTGATGCTAAGATACAGACTTCTGAGCACATACTGTACAGTGTGGCACATTTTACACTATAGATTTTGTGTTTTTGTGTAAAAATGAAGCTATCTAATACTATCACAGCACCAGAAGGAAGACTGGAGCGAAATTAATGCATTCTGCCTTTGAACACGTGGCATAAAAGGTTACATTTGCTACTTTTACTGTTAATTCTCAATTCATACATTATTTCAGCACCATTGATGGGTGAGACAACCCTGATTCAATTTGAGGCCTATTCCTATCAGGCTGATTCAAACTGCCATCTAGCAAGCTGCTCATTTTTATTAATTAGTTTGTTCACTGTTTATGTCTGGTATTATTTTCATGGTACCACAGATCAGTGGAGTGAAATATTTATGTGCCCTTACAGTATATTTAAATAATATTCAGTTCTAATGGTTATAGCACTCCTGTGCAAATTGTGGCAGTTATGAATCATGTTTAGTGGAAATGAATGGTGACAGCCTTTCTTGTGAGGAGTTAAATTTCTGATTCTGAACAGGCTAGGAATGTAATCTGTCATTTTAAGATGTGATTAAAGGGAAGAATCATTGGAAATCCCCATAAATTAGCTTCAGTCTCCCTTCATGAGCTGCCTAAAACAGTATAATATTGATACACATCAATATTTCTTGGATGTCTGGGAATGAATCACAATGTGCCACAGTGTCTCTAGGCTTATTCTTATGGATATGCTGTAGAATTCATTCATAAGTAAGACTATGTTACTTATAGAACAGAATGAGATTCTGAATTACATTTACAGTAACTGTTTCATGATTGCTTTTGGATATTTATTTGATCTTAAATACAATTCTCAAAGAACAGGAATGGTTTCAAGACTAATCAAATTGAGAATCAAAGGTACCGCCTAAATGCCTAATTCAAGCAGATACTTTATAGTAAATCTGGCATATTCTATCTAACCATCCTACAGACAATCATAATAAGAGCATTACAGGGCCATGAAGACTATACATGCATCCTAGAGTTTTCTTTCCTTACTCTTTTTCCTGTGTGAGTGCTTTACGATGTCAGATTTTAGTTATAATGTCTATTTTTTAATTGGGCAGGCTAAGGAAGAATAAATTATGTTCATGAACCCTTTATAAGGGGCGGAGTGGTGGCTCTGTGGCTAAGGATCTGTGCCTGTGGCTGGAAGGTTGCTGGTTCAAGTCCCATAGCCAGCAGAGGAATCCTACTCCATTGGGCTCCTGAGCAAGGCCCTTAACCCCAACTGCTCCAGGGGTGCTGTACAATGGCTGACCCTGCACTCTGACTCCCAGCTTCTCTCCCTGTCTGTGTGTCTCATGGAGAGCAAGCAGGGGGTATGCAAAAACACAAATTCCTAATACAAGAAATTGTATATGGCTAACAAAGTGATCTTATCTTATATTTTCAAAGTATAATAGAGACTCGTGCTCGTAAGTTTGACTGCATATAACATTTGATGTATTTGTCTACCTATTACCGACATATACTGTACCTTCCTATATAGCAGGTTTTAAAAACAAATCATACATTGTTTAGAAATTACAGCACAAAACAACAGTACAGTCCCTTACCTTTAATTTGTCCTTTGTATAGGCAATACATAATGTATAGTTAGACCATGTTCTGTTGGTCTCAGGATGTCGGAACCAATTGCCTGATTCATCACAATATTTGGTTACTTTCTCTAAAAATAGAAAAAGATATAGCTTAATTGTTACGGTGTACTCAAAAAGTTAAAGAAATGAACAAGAACACTAGTACTTATCTACAGTACAGTATGCAACATCCAGTTTCATAGAATAAGATTTCATGGGTAAGACCAACACTGTTTTCAATATCACAAGAACTGGGAAAGTTGCACCTACACCACAGGAACTGCAGAAGATTTAATCTGACACAATGATTCAGATACTAAAGATCCTAATAAATAATAAAACATTTTATTTGCACTCATCCTAAAAATGATTTTTAAATAAAACACAAATAAAGAAGATGAAAACTATTTTTGGGGTTAGGAAACCTTATTAATGCTAGAGCACCTCCCCCTTTTCAGTTTCACCAGGTACTAAATGATCTTAGTTATGAGTAAACTTGGCACTTCAGAGTACGGCACATTTTCTGAAAGGGAAATAAGTTCTGTTTTTTATTACTTGCCAAAGTACTTTATTATTATAGCAAATTAAATGTATAAGTAATAAGAAATGTTTATCTCATTATGCTAACACATTGTTAGAGTGAAAATATACAATATATTGTATGGATTTTGCTCTGTAGTTTTTTTTTCCCTTATGATGTGAACACAGCTACTGTACCTCTCTTCATTTTTAGACTGTAAATAAAACAATGAAAGATATTGTGACAGGTTTAGTTATAAGTTTGCTGAAGTATTCTTAGTTTTAGGACAACATTGAAAGTCTCACCAGTGGAGTCAAAATCTGGGAAATAGGTTGGACAATTCTGTGAGGTGTATGTCCCAGCAGGGGTGTCCTCCCAACACAACCACCCATCCCAGGTCCGGTTACAGTAAGGACCTTCGGGATTCACAAGAAGACAAATAAACAAAATGCTTTTTCCTTCTTTTTCACAACGCTAAATCAGACATTTCTGTGTTCTCACAGCACAGCATCAGTTAGCCTATCAACCCATCGTAAGATACACTGTACAATATTGTGTACATATTGGTCACCATGATATAAAATTCTGTGCAGCCAGATACTGTACATTCCCCTTCTCAAAAGAATACTCTACACTGACAAGATAACAGAACTGAACCTTGTTAGTGATGAACAGACAAGACTACAATGGGACCCGATTCATGCATTCACAATCCTCAAAGAAGATGATCAAATCAATCACATGCAGTTCTTCGAGGCCAGCAGTGATACCAGAGGACTCGTGTGAATTGCATTTTAAATGGAGAACAGGAGGCACTGGAACAAAGTGACACCCCGGCTTCTTTGAGGACATGAGTGGATGAGTCCCTGGATCAATTAGCTGCAGAAAAATCTCTTCTTGTGTGCAGCCACTCTTACTGTATGTTCTCGGTTTCACGTTTGTTGTGCTTAGAGGAACATCAGACAGAAACGTCACGGTGGAGACCAGGAGACCAACCGAGTGCGTTAAGGACTCTTTGGATAATTTGTGTGAAAATGATTGCCACCCGTTTGTGTTATACTTGTGGTGTTATTGAACGGATGTTCAGGTCAGGGTCAAATTCTAATGTTGCAGTTCCTCTTCCTTGCACATTGAAGCTCTCTGGCTGTGCGGTGCGCCACGTGCATCCTCTCGACCTCCCCTCCTTCCTCCTCAACATCACCTGTGCAGCAGCTCTCCTCGGCTCGCCCTGCCGAAGTGGGGGGGTGACCATGCCCAGGACAGTCACTTTCTCAGCCAGGTGAGTTCAAGCCAAAGCACAAGGCATGCTATCTTCTTGACAGCCTGTTTCAGCATTATTAGAATTTGACCAAGCAACTGAATTTTCTCCAATACAATTGCTAGTTGATACTATAGTTGATACTGCTTTCAAGAACTAAACCACTCAAAAATGAGCCAGCCTTCTAAACAGATGCTAAATAGTATCATGTACAAATTAAAAAGGGCAGCAACTATGGCTGGTGGATTTAAAAACGATCTTAAATAGGTCCACCAAAATGAAAAAAACACCCTTAATTTAGTTTAAATGCTTTCAGGGCTGAATACCTGATCTTCTTCAAGATCTGATTCTTCAAGTTGGAATCTCATGGTGAAGGTTGTTATAAATTTATCATTCATCCCAAAGTTAAGTACAGAATTGTCTGTCAATATAGAGTAGATAATGCATCAAAACATTAAATTACAATAATTTATAACATAACTTTCCCCCTGAAAAAAAAGCAAAAAACAAAGCTGTTACCTGTTTTATTGTAAGGCTGATCTCTATACATTTTTTCAAAGCATTTGTATTGAGCATCAATAATTTTTTGCCTTTCCTCAGCTTTCTGCCTCACCAGTGGACTGACAACAGTTTCTGCTGTTGGTTCTGTGTATGTTTCTGTAGCACAGCTTGTAGTTGCCCTCTGTGAAAAGAAAGCCATTTCATTTTCCTGAATGAAAATGCAGGAGGTTTGATAGAAACAAAAAAAGCACAATCACCAATGTAACAGGAGGCTGATGTACTTTGTTGTCAGTCAAAAGATGACTGTTACGGAGTGCATTCATTGTGAAATACTGTATTTTGAAATATACTACTGTTCGTATATGTGGTGCATACATTTGCACTGCTAAGATATGATTAGTAGCTGAATGTTTGCAGGACAATTCCCTTTGGTGACTTTAACAAAAAAGCGATAACATTAAATTAATTCAACACAACATAAAAATGCAACAGCACTGCCAATGACATTTTTATGTAATTGATAATAATGCTGTACTCCTCCAGCTTTGAGAAAAAAGCAAACGAAAAAACATGAACCATTTTCTTCAAGAATGACATTCATTAATTCATTCATTAATTAGGAAAGGCTGGAATGTCTGAATTATCCACATTGGTCAAAAAGTGGATGAACCCCTTTACACACAGTAAACGCAAACACATATACTGTTGAAGAGCGATGTTGAGTGATAAGACGGGTCTGAATTATTCCTGAGCGGGCTGGATAATTGGGATTGCTGCCAGTGATTTCCAAACAGCGCCAACTGAGTACCGAATAAGAGCTGCGTGATTTCCATACTTCAAATACCTGATGCACTGGAAGATATTGTAGAAAGACAATGGAAGAACGTAAAAAAGCGTAACTTTCAAATTCCTGAAAAATTAGAGAGAGGATGTGAGGATTCTTCATACAAAAACAGGTAATATTAGGGACATGCCCAAAGCCTCAGCTAAACAACTTCCCTCTGTTCTCTTTTCTGTCAAATAAATAATATGAAATAAGCTCAGGTGCATTTGGCTCTCAGGGCAGTTAAATCAAAGTTCAGAGACGGCTTTCCAGTTTGAATCTTTCAACAATCTGCACTTGTTTTTCAACTCTTTGAACTTTTTTCCTGGCTCCGCACAACTGTGCAGATGATTCCCTGCCGTGATGGGCTCACAGAAAACCTTTCTGTCAGTGACAGGAAAGGCAAATAAAATATTTTTAAAGCCAAATCAAAACAAAGTGGGTCTCCAAAATATACTTCATAATTTAATTTCAATGTAGCTGTAAACCGCCTAGAATTCTTTTAATTTCACATCACAGCTCTCGCAGCTCATTTTTTGCTCATAGCCTAATATTCAAACACCTCAGAAATCAGACAGGCCACAAGAGAAAACTACAGATTCATAAAACATACATACATGTTTTCACACTGACAATTTATATAAACAAATAAGGAAATTAAGGATGTAACTGTATGTATAGTATTCATAAATACTGGTTGTTGGCAATCTTATTTGAGATAATATTATTAAACTGTATATGTACAGTATATTAATCTTCAGAATTAGCTAGATAAAGAATGCAAGAACTTTAGGCACTTTAATTCTATTATGATCATTTTGTTAAATGTTCTTTAAACAGAAAACCAGCTCCAGAAAGTCTCCTCTCTCCTTTGTTCTTCATCTGGTGATTAGAAACGTTGCTCCCAGCTTATGGTGATGATTTCCTGGGCAGCTTTCCGGGGAATAAAACCTGTTTCCAATCACTTCCCAAGTTTTCCAGCTGACAACACATAACTCTTATCTGATGACCTAGGCACTCAGCTGTAGACAAGAGGATTTGTTTTCCTTGATTTCAAGCCTAATCTAACATGACTCTTTCTTTTTCTAAAGAGTACTGTTGTCCCATGTAGAAGTTTAGCAGCCGTACATATGATGTCACTCCAAACATTGAAGTAAATGACGTCATACATACGACCACCAAGCCACCACGCATATCAGCCTACACGTATTCAGGGTGAAGAAAGGTTCCCCAGAGGTGCAATATTTATGCAATAAAAAGCTTCTTAAAAAAAGAAACACTCACACAGTGCAGGTGTTGAAATACAGTACGTGCCTCCTAACATACCAACACAGTGACAGGGACATCCATTCACACAGAACCTGTACAGCTTTGTGTCATCGATGAAAAAGAGCAGCCCTTCTTGGAAATCAAGAGGCCAGGGTACATCAGATCTGAGAGTGCCTTTCTCTTACACATCATTGATTCATTGTCTACGCTCAAAACCTCTCTTCCCTGTTTCTTGCTGTCACTATATACAGTAACAATTTTCTTGTAAATGTATAACAATTCTATAACAAATAATAACATTATTTGTTATTCAAAGCTGATTAAAAAATTTGACATTAGCAAGTTGATGCATGAGTAGACAGAACTTGAACAAACTGACTCACAAACATATCGGGGCTGCTTTTTGTGAAAGGTTATAGTTCAGTGTGTGTCTGCTTTAGTGAATGTGAATGCTCATTAAATATACATTCATCGCTCTTCCAGATCACCAACTTCAACTCAGGCAGCACATTTAAAGAGATTAATTACATTCTATTTCTATGTTGTTGTGCAGAGATAAGGGAAAGGGTAATTAAATTTAAGATCAAAAGTAATGATTGGAATGCTTTTATTTCCTTGATAAGAAACCAATTGGGAATGTATATTGCATGTTCTTAATGTATAGAAGACAATCTAGTGTTTGTGCACTTCAGACTGTTGCTAGCTTTAATAAGTAGAGGCTACATTTCTGTGGTAAAACAACACCAATGCCATTTGAAAAATTGATTTGTTTTTCCATTTTACCATCTTAACATGTAGAAATAAAATACTGATGAAACAAAGTATAAAATAGAATTAAACAAAAACCAAAAAACAAATGTTATATGTTTTCCTAGCTTGTACTGTAGTTACAGCAGCTTTTACAGTAGTTACTAACCCTAATATGTAAAAATACATAGTTTCAGTATTGCTGAAACAGGCAGATGCTGTATAATATATTACCACCCTAAGCATCTTTAGAAAATTATTCATATTACTTACCAAACCTAGTGTTAACGCTGTAATGAGCCAGTGCATGCCTTTTAATTCCATCACTGATTGAGCTCAGATTGACCTGACAACAGAAAAAAAAACACACAGTATGCATGAATGAGTCAGACAGACTGATACACTTGACTACAGAACAAACCATGTAAAGATTTTGTGCTTACTTTGTTTACAAGTAAACATTGCCAAATATTTTTGTTCAGTTTAAAAACGTTTTGTAAAATATGGTTGTGAATGAAGTAAAGTACAGTAGATGTTATTAAGAATACACAGAAGGCAAATTATTTGGCACATTCTTAATTCAATACAAGCAAGGCATTGTAAATAAACTTCCTGTTCCTACAAAAGCATCGGTAACAGTTCCTATAAAAGGTCATGTCTGTAAAAAAACATAACACTCTGAGATCATACTGACATGTTTGATGCTGAATGATTCAGAAAGGTATGAATTAATTCCCTGCCTTTTTTCCCTGATTGCAGTTTTTAATATTACTGACTGCTTAAAAAGTTTTGAAAATTTGATTTCCAAGTTTATATTAAATATGATACAGTAAATGATACAGGTATATTTTATTTTATTATTATCATGCACTATGTATGTAGTTTGTGTGCTAATATGTGTGCTGTTTGTTTAACAAATATATTTAAACATCTTCACCTATTTCCAACACAACTTCCCATTTTACAGTATCAGTATACTTACCTGCGATGTCAGATAGGAAGCCCATGAAATTGGGGTATTTTACTATAAATTAAGAAAATTAGCTGAAATAATAAATTAAACACAACACTTGATAAAACAGCTATTTCAAATGGAAAATAGGCAAAGGGACACTCAGGAGGCACAATATGAAGTGGGCAAGATTAGGATATGACTTCCTCCCCAATTTCAGTTAATAAAATAACTGCTGTTAAAAACATTCTTTGTAAAGAATGAAAAATAAAAAAACAAAACATCTACAAGCTTTAGTCCAGAACTCACAGCACTATAATCCATTACTTCTACACGCAAACAATTTATCAAAGCTTATAACAGTATTGACCAAGCAAGCTGATGTGTTTTCCACATGCATTTCTGTTACAGGAATAAAACTTACTGGCACCAGTGCAGTGCAACACATTGTTGAATCATTCTGCTTAAACTTAACAATAAAAAAATATTTTTTTGCCTTTATCATTAACTTTTTCAGCTGAGTCTCTCTAAGTACAAAGACAAAAAGCACATTACACAATGTGAAATTAAGGAAAGTTGGAAAGCCAAGAAAACTAAATACAGAAGGTAAAATGATCCTCAAAAGTCCCTGAATTATTTTTAAGGCTGTTTTTCAGAGCTTTGGGGCACAGCAACAAAAGTTCTGTAACCCAGAGATTTCAGACAAACATGGGGAACACACAGTAAACCAGAATCAACTGAGGTTCCATGAAGCACTAAATCAATAATATATTGCCTAGATATTGTGGAGCCATGCTGTGCACAGCTTTAGGCATAAGCATAAGGATTTCAAAATAAACTCAAAAGCTGACAGGAAGCCAGTGCCGGGACTCCTGAACAGGAGTAATGCAAAAAGGTGTGTCCGACCTAGTCAGGATTCTAACCGCCAATTTTAGAGCAGATTGTTTTTGAGACTGCTGAAACTGGGGTTTAACATATTTAATCCTTGAAAAAAAACAGCCTAGCAATATTTCTCAGATTGAAAAACAATGTCAATCCAATACTCGGCACATGTGGTTGAAAAGTGAATCCATGATTGAAGATTAGACTTGAAACTTACGCACAATGCCAACAATTTACAATGCTACAATTCCGGCTGTATGTAACTGGTGAGAGGAGCTCTACTGCATGATTTCAATCTTATCACAGTTAAGGAGCAAAGGGTTTTGTTTCATCCAAGCTTTTATGTAAAGGATGTTTAGAATGAAAACCCACAAGACAATCTAATTCATGTAGGTGTATTTATGTTTCCGTTCAACTGATTTACGTTATATATAGGAACATGAATTGTTATTGTTAATAGAATGAATTGAAAGCCCTGAAACAACAAAAGGCTTGTGTTCCTCCCGGACCTGCATTATTAACTCCATTAGATAGGTCTTAGATGTTCAAGTGTTCTGACCTTGATGGAACTTGATTAATCCATCATCGAAGCACAAACGAAACTGAGCTAGCCCTGTGTGTTAATCCATCCGCTTAACAGGTGTTCCAAGCTTCGTGGCCTCCAATGCTTCCATATTATTAACTATGTTTCAAAGTGTGTTTCTGTGAGACACAATGTATAATGATGTATATGAACATTCTGAGCTTAAAAAAAGACGCAAGCATTTATCTGTGAAAGCTTTAAAGACCTTCCTATTATTTTAATTGATTTTGACAAATAAGAAAAAAAACAAATTCTGATTTGATCAAATAAACTGTTTCCTGTTTCCTGAGTTGTTCTTACAAGGTTAACCATCACAGATATGTCACAACTTCAGTTCCTGAGTTGCATAAAACCCTTTTCAGTGCGTCAACATTTTAGGTTTTTACTGGCCTTTCAAGTAAAACATTTTCATTTCACATCCTTTGGTAAAGCTTACCAAAGCACTATTCATTCATTTCTGTGGAAAAGGAGTTATAAATTATAAGGGAAAAAGTTTTGCGGGATCATTGATATGTTTTTAAAGTGTTGCCTAAAGGCTCAGAATTAATCTCAAAATAAAACTGCTTTGAAGACAAAATGTTCCCATTTTCTGGAGAGACGTTAGAGACAAATCTAATCTCTAATGGTAGTAGTGCTTCTGTAATGAAGATGCTAACAGCTTGCAAAAGTTTTTACCCCCCTTCCAATAATATCTTATCTTGTTGAATACAGTAGTTGAATCTCTCCATAAAAAACACCACTTGACTAAGGCAGAGATGAGAGTTTTTTAAATCATGTGAATCACAATTACTACACACAAAGGTTATCCATCTAAATGTGTGCCTTATCGATGTCATTTTCTGCACCAGAACTAATTTACCTTAATTAAGGAGATGAATACTTGGGATCAACTTAGTTTAGTTTGGGAATTTTCTTTGCCATTTTTGCTGACATTTAACTTCTCTCCCTTGTAAAAGTGTTTGGTTCAAGCAAGTGTTGATTAATTCTATTCACTTCAAACAACGGGTGCACATAATTTGTAATTCGGCAAAATAGGATATTGTTGGAAGGGGGTGAATACTTTTGCCAGGCATTGTACAGTATCACAAGTGCATCATTAATAAACATCATAATCACATGCAACTCGACTTGAAAGGTTTTTAATAGGACACTTAGCTATAATCTTAAGAGCATTCTTATGTGCCTTTCACAACTTCATCTGGACTGAAACCCCCATGGAGTCACAGAAAATTGTTGTTCAAAAGGTTTACTGTAGAAGGATAGTTACTTGACAAGCTTACTACACTGATGTTTTTGTCAATGGTATGAAGCCATTACGTTTTTGAACACTGTCCAAGAGTAGTAACACCCTGGGTATCTGGGCTACGTGTGCTTTAAGCATCACAGCATCAGCAGGCTCAGTGTGGTCCTTTGACACGCATGGTTGCCTAATAACTGAACACCTTTGGGATAAAGCCAGACATCCACTCTGTTATCTATCCAGTTCAGAATCTTTGACAGCTCTTTTGTGAATTCACAAGGCATTCAGTACATATAGTCACTGAAGTGACACTGTACAGCCTGATTTGATGCTAACGTGAAATACCAACAGCAGTGATTTCTGAAAAATCATATGCAGTACTGTGATAGGTCCAAGTGCAGACAGGGCACTGTTGTTTCACATTTTAGGTGCCCAGATTCCAAAATGGACTAACATAAATTACAGTCACGCATGATATATTAGCATAGCTTCATCACTCTCTCTAAAGCAAAACTGGCACGCAATATCAAAGCTGGTCAGAACACACGAGCATGCCTGCCACATGCCTCAGAAAGCTTGCCTCTGTTATTTATTCTGACATCTCAACTCACTTGATAATCCAGGCTTGTTTTCCACATTCTTTAAAACATAGCTAGGACACATGGTCCTTGCTTTAATGTTTTAGACAAATACTATTTCTTGACATGCTGTTTTAGAAACGTACTATTTTTAAATAAAGTGTTCAATGTGGATTATGTGCTTTCTATTTTTTGTCTAAAAAATTTTAAAAAAAGCAGCACTGATGTAACAGGCACACTGACAACAAAAAGCACTCATGACTGCATTGAAAATGTAAAAACACTTACTCATAAAAGGATGGCACTAACTCAACTTTTCTCCCAGACACACAGTACTGAAAGAGTGCTCCTCAGAGACACCCAGAACTGTGAAAGAATGTGCAGTTCTACTGTACCTGTATCTCTATGATAGTAAAATATCAAAAGAATTTATCTTCTACCTGTCTTGAGATCATTTTTACTGAGGACAGGTGCATAACCAATATGCTGGTGTCTTCAAAATGAAAATGTTGTCTTCGAATGCTTCAGATGTATTGAGTTATTTTTATTTTTATTAGACTGCTAACGTAAATCTAAACAATCAAAAACTAACTAGATCTAAGCCGGCAGCACAATGAGTAATCACTTAATTACTTAATTAATCACTTAATGGTCACCACGTTACAAAAAAGTGTTTTGTTACTCTGCTAAATGACCCTTGGAAGTCCATCTGAAACTCCAGCACTTATTTACAGAAAGGATTAAGGGAGTATTAAACAAGCTACCCAGCTGTGTTGTCAGAGCACATATGCTGGCTTCTGTCAAGAAAGGTTTGAACAAGATACTAGAATCAATCAGCTACCAACTACCAAAGCAAATTACCAGCAAAATGACCACTCCATGTGTGTTACATTTCTTACGTCCTTACAGTATGTGATCACACAAGTTTAAAGCATTTCCACAAATTAAGCAAAACACACCAAACTGGTATCTAAATAAAACAATGAAAATGTATATATTAAATGTATTTTAGAACATTGAATACTATATCTGTCCCTCTACCTTCAAAGACACTCTGTCAGGAGAGTCAACTTCTGCTATATAGCTGAACATTCTGTTACACCAGGTCAGA